TGTTGCATAAACGCCAGCTAGCGTGTTTGTAGCAAAGTGGCTTTTCGATGAATCTCCCGAAAGGATGTCCCGCAGGTAGAAGGGCATTTAAGGATGGCACGAGACTGGCTCGTAAATGCTTGACGTCTTGCAGCAAAAGGAGGGAATAGTAGCAAAACTCTGCCGAAAGCCGGGCTTTGCGGCACCCCTGCTTTGTGCAAGTTGGCCGAGTTGATTCGCGAGCCGATCCGGCCGAAAAGGTAGGCAGATGTAGGCTATTAACCGTCGAGGAGAGACAAGCACACCTGGCCGCATTTGTGGTCTGAAGCATGTGGCTGGATTGGCTTCTTTCCAGTCGAGAGGTCCTTGAAACCAGACATTCGAAGAGTCGAGACGAAGAAAACTGAACTGCTGTTGACGCGCTCTTCACCCAGCCTCAAGTGCACAGTTTGCACAGCCAATTTGGTAGCATACAGGTCTTCGTGCAATACCTCCGGCCCGGCTGGCAGGCACTTGACAAAGTGGAATCATCGTATGTCTCAAGGCGGCAGTCAAGGATGAAGGCTATCTGCCTTCTGATGTGACATTTTGAGACGGAATTTGTTGGGTGAGACAGTGCCAGATGAAAGGATTCGGGGTACATATCTTGCGATCAAATAGGGATTACGATATATTTTTTTCTGTTATAAGTAGACTTTTGAGTAGTCTCAAAAGTCTACTTATAACCGAAAAAAAATAAATATATATATATATACATATATGATCTGCTGGTAGTCTCAAAAAATAAAAATAACTAAGATGTCTTCATTCTATTTAGTTTGGAGTGATAAGGGGACAGATGTGAGTTTAAAGGAAGATCAGGCATTTTCCCCTATCACATTCTGTGTGGGAAATGTCGATGAAGCAAGCATGTATTTGCCATAGCAAATAGATCACCATCACCAGAAGAGCCAGGCTGTGGTTGGTTGCTACCCTCCATGTCAGGTTGATGCTCATTCGGTTCCGGTGGAGGCGGGCCGAACCTGCGGCTATCAGGCGGGTTGAGAGAGAACGTTAAAGCTGGATGCCATTCATGAGAAAAATGTCAATCTACAACAAATTAAAAATAACAATCGACTCTTCCAACCTTGCTCGAAAGATCCGCCAAAAGGGGATATAATGACACGGTTACATTCTTTTCATGACAATCTACGTGCTTGTCGATATATATATATATATATATGGATAGATAGATATATAGATAAATTAATTGATAGATCTGTAGATAGACGGACGCATATATATATATATATATATATGGATAGATAGATAGATAGATAGAGATAGAGATA